TCCAGTTTCAGTACACTCAGAGATTGAAAAGAAAATGTAATGGCTCTGTTGTACTGATGGCCTAAGCTTTTGCTGTGTCATGCAATGGGAAAAATCAGTAGATTGTCACTGCTGCTGGTCATACTAACTTTAGAAATGCCAAGAAACAGTACAGGAAGCATTGTTTTAGGAGTCTGGACATCACTGAACAACACTGATGTGTGAACTGCAGCTACTGAAGCATCTGTTTTCTAGCTCATTTTCTCTAAATGAAACAAGTAGGAAAACATGGACAGGATCACACTTGCTTCCTGTATGCAGGTAGGCTACAGCACAGCCCAGTTAGTACAATGCCATCCAAAACCACCTTCCATCAAAGGAGTATACAAATCAAAGTATGTTGGCAGAAGCCACATTTATGCCTGGCTTTCATGTTTCTGATGCAAGCAAAGGAAGCAAGCATCCTCATCTATACTGAATTCCTGAATACACAGAAGTTGTAAAGCCATTTTACCTGTAATTTTAAGCACGGTGTCATTTCTAGCAACCGGCCGACATAACCAGCAGTTTCTGTGAGTCACCCAGACAGATATGGGAAAAGTCCCAGGAAATTCACCAGTCACATTCATTATGGAGTTAAACTGCTGCTCAGATTTCTCTATCAGAATAAGGGGAGCATAAATCCAGTTGAAGTGATACAAGTTTGATGCGACATTCTCATTCTTCATACTTAGACTGGCGTGAACAGTGGCTTGAGCTCCCGTTGTGATGGGACCATTGTTGGTTATCTCCAGAATATACTTCTCTGTGGAAATCATACGAAGAAAAAAAAACCAACAAACCGACACCTAGTTGTATTGCATTTTTAAATTCATTTATTTACACATTTTAACTAGTCAGCTGTAGTTATGTGTTAGTATATTACTTCTTTTTTAACATTTAAAAATCTGGAAAAGGAGCTGTTGCATCTATATATGAGTTCAAACAAGTAGCATTAAACAACATGTTAGACTGGGTCCTAGAAATGTTAACAGTAGCAGGGAGCTTCAGATTAGAATATGATAAAAACTTTGATGAGGTTTTACAGGCAGAACTAGACAACACAGAGCAAGTTCCCTTGCTGCACCAGGAGTATTGTGTGCAGTTCTGGTGTCCTCAACATAAAAAGGACATGGAACTGTTGGAACAAGTCCAGAGAAGGGCCATGAGGATGATCAGGGGACTGGAGCACCTCCTGTATGAAGACAGGCTGAGGAAGTTGGGGCTGTTCAGCCTGGAGAAGAGAAGGCTGCGTGGAGACCTCATAGCAGCCTTCCAGTGTCTGAAGGGGGCCTATAGGGACGCTGGAGAGGGATTCTTCATTACAGACTGTAGTGACAGGACAAGGGGTAAAGGGTTAAAACTTAAACAGGGGAAGTTTAGGTTGGATATAAGAAGGAAATTCTTTCCTGTTAGGGTAGTGAGGCACTGGAATAAATTGCCCAGGGAGGTTGTGAATTCTCCATCCCTGGTGGTGTTCAAGAAGGAAATTCTTTCCTGTTAGGGTAGTGAGGCACTGGAATAAATTGCCCAGGGAGGTTGTGAATTCTCCATCCCTGGTGGTGTTCAAGGCCAGACTGGATGAGGCCTTGGGCGATATGATTTAGCGTAAGGTGTCCCTGCCCATGGCAGGGGGGTTGGAACTAGATGATCTTAAGGTCCTTTCCCACCCTAACGGTTCTATGATTCTATGATTCTATGAAAGTGTAACATGGAACACTGGGGTAGGCTAACCCTGTGCTGGCTTTCCTGCACCCATCAGCTTTGGATGGGGTGGAAAGAGAACGCAAAGCATCTACTTAGTGCCCCCCTTTTATTTCACATATTGCAGGCGCTGAGCAAATCTGGTTGAAAAATGACTGTGAGAGGTAATGTTTTAGTGCCTGAGCAAGAATTCCATTTCAAAAGGGAATGGCCCTGAGTTCAGATTTTTGAGTTAATAGAGAAATGCCCGTGACTTGATGGTCTGGCACAGAGAAGTTTCATGTCTCTAGAAGAATCAGGCTACCCTCCTCTTTGTTTCAGCAGAACTTGGGAAAAAAATAGCCAGCTAACTCGTGCTTATCTAGCACTTCTCCTTGGAGGTTATCGCGGTGCTTTACAAACCAGGGCCACACTGAAGCCCAACAACTGCAGCAGTTGAGATTAAGTGGCTAAACCAAGGTCACTCAATGAGTCACCAGCAGAACGAGACATTTCATCCGATTCAGGGACTCCTTCTACCTTGCCGACCTCTCTTTGCAGAATCCTGCACAGCGAGGGATGGAGGATGCACAGATGCCCTGGGACCCGCGGCACTGGGTCAGTGGAGGAGGCAGAAGTGCAGCTTCTGGGTGAGGAAGTGCAAAGCAGATCCCTAGCTCCCCAGGATACCCCAGCTTTAGCGACAGCACCAAGGTCGCAGGGCCCGAGATCAGTCTGAGAAAGTGCTTGGAACTGTCTCTATCCCCTGTCATAGCTCGCAAGCCTGGGTTAGGGAACCATCACCCTCCCACAAGTAAAGCACCTTACGCGCCTTCGCTCCGCCGCCTCACCCCCCATCGCCCGCTCCCCGGCGGTCGCTTACCAGCCGCCGGGGAGGCGCGGCCGAGCAGCAGCAGCACGCAGGTCAGCAGCAGCATGCCCAGGGCGGCGGGGGCCATAGCCACGCACTGCAGCGGTGGGTCCGGGACCGAGTATCGCCGCGCCGGAGCCGGGCGCTGCCCCGAGGCAGTCCGCGGTACTGCGACACCTCTGTCCGCTCCCCGGGACGCTCCCCCGCGGCAGCGCCCGGCTGGCCTCTCCCGGGGAAGTTCCTGCCGGACGGTGTTGCCAACGGAACGGGATGCTGCAGAGTCGCGGGGGGGTTAAAACTTAAACACATAAATACAAAGCACAAATGCCGCCCATCCGCGGAGGGGGTGGGCACAGCCTTGAGCGCAGAGACCGTGCTTTGGGGTTGGTGGCTGATGGAGTATTAGGGCTGAGGACGCCCCAGTCGCGGACAGTTCGCCGCGGTTATGCGGACGCTCCACGTCCAGGCTGTCGACTCCCTGCAAGGTGCGCAACGGGAGCTTCTGGAGGGAGCCGGGAAAACGGCTCCCGCAAACGCAGTGCAGCTTGGTTTTAACTGTTCTGAGTACTTATTCGAAGCCCTATCTTGCTCCTGGGTGTATATGTATTTTTTAACAGATCAGGCCCCCTCCACCGGCTTTGCTCCGGGTTCCCCGGAGTGCGGAGCCGCTTCTATCGCCGCTCCCCCGGGCCGCTGCCGGGTCGCGACTGCATCGACGGGGCGGTCCCTCGGCAGGGGCCTGGGCCTGCAGGGGGAACCGACTACGGCCCCGTCTGCCCGGGGTAATTCCGCGACAGCGGTAACTCGGTTAGCGGCGTCGTCCCCGGCGACCCCTGCGTTAGGGGACACCCCGGCTCTGAGGGGACGGATGCGGCCGGCTTCTCGGCTTCGCAGCACGACCTGGCGGGACCTGGCGAGCGCGCTTCCTGACTGCGGCGGGGCAGGGCAGGGGGTGGCCGGGGGTTGCGGGACCCCGCGCCGTGAGGGTACCGGGCGGCGCTGCGGGCCTCAGAGCCCGCCTCCGCCCGGGGAGATGCGGGGGAGGCGGGCGGCGGGAGGAGGCGGCCGGAACTGGGCTCTCGAGCTTCCGTTGCGCCCATGCGCTGCTGCCGGCCTCCGGGAGCAACAAAGGAGGGAGCTGGGGGGCAGAGGCTGGCTGGGCCGAGGGAGCCGCGGGGTGAGGGGCGACGCGGCGTGAGGGGCGCAGGGGGCGGCAGCGCTTCCGTATGGGCCTGGGCATGTCGCGGGCGCGGGGTGAAGCGAAGCCGTGGGAAGCGAGGCCCGGCGCAACGCGGGGCGGAACCGGTGCGCCGCGGGGCGGAGGAAGGGGCCGGAGCCCTGGCAGCGCTACGCTCGGAGGCCTCCGGCCGGGATGCGGGGGGGGGGGGGGCTGAGTGATGGGGGGTCCTTTGTGGCCGCCGCTCACGGGTGTTCGTGTCCACAGGACAGGCTCCTCAATGGGGATGGGATCGGCGTGATGGCCCTGGCAGCAGGGAGCGACCTGGTGGCCACCAGCTTTGCGTCGGGGAAGGTAGGGGGGCGCGGGGCCCAGCGGGCAGTGCCGCGACCCTGGGGCAGCCGTGGAGGGAGCCGGGGGGGGATGTTTGCGGAGCACCCCCCAGCTGTTGGTCGCTGGTTAAGGGTGCCTGGGCTGAAGCGGGCTGTGAGGCGAGTTGACAGGAAAGCGTCGAGGTGAGGAGGGCGGTCGCCGGTTTTCCCGTCTGAATTGGATTTCGGGTCTCTTTACAAGTGAGAAAGGCAGCTTGTGGCGGCGGGACAGCTCCCGGCACCTCTGGGGGTGGGTCCTGACGGGATGTTTCTCAGGGGACCTGCGAGTTTGGGGTCCGACTGGACAAGATAACAGCTGTGCAGTGCAAGGAGCATCCCCGAGCTGCTGCTGCTGCTGGGAGAAACGGGACCAAAGGAAACGCGTGAATATTTGTGCTGTGGTGTGAAGAGCCCAGCAGCCACCTCTGTCTACAAGTGTGTTCCAGTGATACCGAGTGCTGCAAATACTTGGCATTATATATGTAGGCTTTCCTTTTGGAAAGATGTACCCTTTTCAGTGTGTCCAAAGAATGGATGTAGGTGATGTAGTAGCTGATGTTAACCAAACATATAAATTTACAAGTTTTTTTTTATGTTTTTGTAGGTTTATTAATCTTGATTTTAGGTACTGAAAGCTGATCCTTCATCCTCCAAGATGGCATTTGTTTCAGCGCAAGGGCCTACAGTGGTGGACCAAACCACTTTGATGAAAAAATACCTTCAGTTTGTGGCTGCTCTTACAGATGTCAATACACGTAAGATACTTTTTTTTCTATTGAAAGTCCTTCAGTAGTTTGTTTCACAAACGTTGCAGTATTGTTTAGACAGTTGATAAATATGTGTTGAATTCACTCTGCATTCCATTTGATTTTTGATTTTTGAAGAAGCAAAATGATGAGTAATACTTGCATGAGCCAAAGTGAGCAAGCTCTGTGTGTGTGTGTGTGCATTTGTGTGATGGTTGATTGTGAGAATTGTGTGCCTTATAATTTGGCAGTGATAGCTAAACTGATAAGATCTGATTGCTTCTTTGATCAATGAGTCTGGTGTTTTCATTCATGATGTAGTTTTATATTTAATTTTTTTGCTCGAATTTTCATTTTCAGCTGATGAAACCAAATTGAAAATGATGCAAGAAGTCAGTGAGAATTTTGAGGTAAATATAAAAACACCCAACAACCCAAATGAAGGCCCACGAAAACCCCCTAACTTTCTGAAATGACAGTCTTCCAAGTGCTTAACATTTGTTGGTTTGATTTCTGATGTTATGTGAGTACAATGTTAATATTAGTATCTTGTGACTTATAACTGTAAATCATAAGTCACTGATTTTAGGTTTGTATTTAGGAATTAGCCAGGTTAATGAAGAATTACAATGTACTTGGAGAGCTCTTTCATTCTCTGATCTTTATTCAGTAAGCATTTAAATAAAGGTGAAGAAATTGATTTTTCTTTAATTTCGAATATGAAATTTCTGTATTTAAAGCTTCTTTGGTTTAGTTCAAATGCTTATTGTACTCTTACGAAGCAGAAGCCTCTCTGGTTCCTGTGAGTAGTTCCATAGTATGGAACTGAGGGAGTTGTCAGATACAGGATCTGACATCAGGAGTGGAGATGGCTCCCATGACATCTTTTGCATGGTGATGGACTGTTAAGTTTAGATGAGCAGCAGAAAAAGAGACAAAAGTTAATCCAACTCTGTTAGCATAAATTACACTTTGTTATGTGTCTGTTTTGAAATTATGGAGAACTGGTTATTTTGTAAGAAGTTCAGGATCCTAGAATCTAGAATGTCATTCTAGCTCTCAGACTATAATTATCTCTGTATCTAGTTTTTTAGTCATGTTGTGATTAAAAAAAAGTGCTACTATTGTGACATATTCTGTCCTTAACTGCTTTATTTGAAGTGATCTTGCGTAGTCCATGATAAAGAAGCATAAATACATATTCTGATCCTGTTTGATGTCTTTGGATATTTTCAAGTAAGCTTTATGCTAGGTTGCATCCAGTAGGTGCAGGATGTTGAAAGCTGTGCCCGTTTTAGTTGTTTCTGAGTTATCGGTGGAATAAATTCAAAGGTGGTGTAACTGTATTACAAAAAAAACCCAACCTAAAAGTTAAAGGCTCAATTCTTGTTTAGTGTGTTTAAGTGATTAAGTAGGTGTCTGTTCTGCATCTATATGCACATGGAGAGCATTTTACAGAGCTTCATAGTACCGTGACTGTCTAAAAATATACGTGTGGAGTTTTGTGTCTGTTTAAGCTGACCTGCCATCTCCAACAAAATTTATCTGACTAAAAGAACAGTTTTAACAGCTTAGTCCAATGATCTATTTAGAATCTCGTGGCTTAGTTGATTCTCTTTGCTTTTGTCTTCAGTAGGGAAGGACTTGTTCAATATTTGCTTTGATAACATTCTGTTGTAACTCACTTGGTTCTGTAGTGTGGTCCTACCCAAAGAGGTGATGAATTGACTTGTACAGAAGTACAGCTCTATTTGCTGGAAAACACTTGAGGGAGCAAGAAGGATCCACTAACATAGTTGTAGTTTGATTTTTTCTGTAGAGGTTGTGGGCAGTGTTGTTGCATTTTGTTAATGCTGGATGGTTTCTTTTCGTCTTCTGTTTCCCTAGTCTCCTTATTAACTCTGTTGCCTGCTTCAGTTTCCAATAGCTGTAAAGCTCCTCAGGTTTTATTTTCCACTTCAAATGATTATTTTTGTTTATTTGATTTTAGTTTTTACTTCGTTTCAAAAATTAGCTGTTCAAATTCTCTCGGCTGCATTATTGATCAGGATGTCTTGCTAGTTAGGGGAAGAACTGACGATAGATTCATGATTCTGGAGGACTTGTGGAAGTGAGGTTTAAAACTGATGTGCTCCACCTTAACATTATCCGCTTGGCAGTGCCAGTTGTTGGGCTGGTTGTTATGGCATTCTGGGCTAGTAGAGGTTATTTCTCTTCTAAACTAATTTCTGGATGGACACACTTGGCAGTTTTGAGTCTTGTTTCTGAGAAATTATTTGTTTGAGGGTTTGTTTTTTTTTTCTTTCTTAATTTCTTCATAGAGATTCTGAATTCCAGATGGGGAAAGAGGAGTGTATTCATTGTTGTTCCAGTCTTCGGCTTGGAGGAGAAAAAACTTCCAGAATCAGCCTCTGTTGCTGCTTCTGACATTTTGTGCCAGCAGCGTTATTCTGAACTCTGTTAGAGTAGTGGGGGTTTTAGTTTCTTGTATGGTTCATATGGGTAGCAGGAATTATGCTAATCTTTTGGTCCTTGCTGTTTAGCATTTATTGGGAAGGTGCTTTCAGAAATTTAAGCTGGATTTGTAAAACTGTACTTTTCCTGGAATGGATTTGTGAGCCACTTTCCAAGAATGCAGCAATACCTGTTTCATTTCTTGTTTGAAACTTTTTCAGTCCTTTCTTCCTCCAAAGTGGAACCATGCTCATGGCGTAAACTTGAGGAGGTTAAGAATCATTCAGAATTGGAAAGACTGTAAAGGAGGTGAAGGAGGAGAAGATGCAGACAGGCTTTTTTTGGAAGACGTTTGAGATGAAGAAAAGATGCAGGCTAAACTATTTGTTCATGCTATCTTGTCTTGCATTGTCATGGTTTAACTGCAGCTGGCAACTAAGCCCCACACAGCTGTTTGCTCAGCCCCTTTGCTGGTATGGGGGAGAGTATCGGAAGGGAAGCTTTATATGCTGACCATGACATCTTACGGTATGAAATATCCCTGGGGTCAGATTGAATCACCTGTCCTGGATCCAGCTCCTTGTGCATCCCCAGCCTCCTGGGGTGAGGAGCAGAAAAGGTCTTGACTCTGTGTAAAAACATCTCTGTGTTATCAAAACTGTTTTCAGCACAAATCCACAATGTAGCCCCATAGCAGCTACTACGAAGAAAATTATCTCTGTCCCTGCCAAAACTAGCACATGCATGTAAAAAGCTTTGTACCTTTCTCATGATATGTCTGCTTTCTTGAAAGCCGTTGGGATAAAAAACCTTTTGTTTTTATAGTGCCTGATGTAATAAAATTTATGGTTGCGTATTACGAAATCTTACTGCAAAGTCAAGAATAGTAGTGGAAATCTATAAAAGGAGGTGGCTTTATAAAACTTTTATGTTATTTAAGGAATAAATAAAGGTGAAAAAAACCCCTGCAATACCCATGCAGATTTTTCAAAAGACTGCTGCATTTTTAGATGTATCTTTAGTAACTGACCAGTGTGTTTCTGCATCGCAGCTGCTTCAGAGAGCTGCCTTTGCAGGTACATAAACTACAGCCGAGATTCCAAATAAACCTCACAGTAGTTGGTTAGTTTTTTTTTTTTAAGGCAGATGCAGCAGTTGCTGATGGAGGAAGCTGGCTCGTCTGATATTTCTGGTTTCACAAGTGGACAGTAGTGCAATATTATTTTCACAGTGGCTTGTAATGTTTGGGTGATGTACGCATGCATGTACACGTTTGCAAAAATAACTAAAATCTTAGTTTAACAGTGCCTGAAAAGTCTTGGGAATTGTAAAGCAATGAAATGTGAGTGTGCTTGTCAGTCTTTCTTGTTCAAGAACATCTACAGCTCTTCCCCGCCCCCCCCCCCCCCCCATTTAAAATACCTGTATGTTATGCCAATTCGATTTTTGTGTGAGGTGACAGTGTTAAAATATATTAAAAAAAAATAATCATCTTACAGTCCATTTGGATTGGAGGAGAGAGGTTAATCTGTGTTTACTTTTGTTTTTCACTAAGTGCTCTGTAGTGTATCAGTAAATGTAAAATCCCAGAATCTAAGAAGAAGTTAATTAAAATGTTTAATAGTGGCTTTGAATGTAACTTAGTATCTAATCTTCCTTTTTTTGCTGTTGTTTTTTGTTGCTTAATTAGAATGTGACATCATCCCCTCAATATTCTACATTCCTGGAACACATCATCCCTAGGTTTCTCACCTTTCTACAGGATGGAGAAGTTCAGTTTCTGCAGGAGAAGCCAGCACAGGTAAACACTGGAGCATCTCTTATGTTTTTGCAACGTATGCAGCAGACTACTTGTTTGGTACTTGATTAACCTAATGAGCTGATGTATGTATAGACTTTGTTCTTAAGAATAAACCTGTCATTTGGCAGGAATTGAAAATGTCCAGTCTCTAAATAAGTTAGTTACAAACTTTGTAAATCTGGCCTTGTATGAAAAGTGAGGAAAAACTATGGGCAACAGAATTGTTTTTCTTGCTGAAATACGATAGACTGTTAGAGATTACTGAATTTACTGTGGAATGAAAGGCAGAAGTTGAGTCTATTGCTCTAAATACTTGAGTTCCTTAAAAATAGTATAATAACTTCCTTTTTCCAACAGTAAATTTGTTAGATTTGATTTACATATGGGTAATAGGAAGCATCATGTATTTGTATGTAACCTTTTGTAAATGATTAATCACTGAAGGACTTAGTGTTCAGTAAACAAAGTACAAGCTCTGCTTTAAGGCATTCCTCTTAACCAGCTTCTGAAGTGTTCCATGAAGTCGTAGTTCTGAGGTTTCCTGTGTCCACCCAAAGTAAAATGGCTTTTTTCTTTTTAAGCATGCAGAAGTGTTAAGCTAAAAACATGTCACAACTGATTAACTTGTTGGTGCTTTTTTTGTGGGCTTTTAGGAAGTTCTGTCACATCTTTGTTTTTTTTTTTTAATGTGTTTTTTTTTTTCAGCAACTCCGAAAGCTGGTGCTTGAAATAATTCACAGAATACCAACAAATGAACATCTTCGTCTTCATACCAAAAATATCCTGTCTGTGATGTTTAGATTTCTAGAGGTATTCTTTTTTTTTCTCTTATAACTGTTTCAAATTTTCATCTTCCTTCAGCTGCAAAAAGTACTAGGAATAGGATTTTTTAATAGCTGTGCTTCTGGAGCAGGAGTGGAAGGGCATGGCATTTAGGCTTCACCAGTGGGATATCTTGCTATCTACAGGTTTTCTGAATATTCTCTTCTGCCCTTTAGAAACCTGGATTTTACAAATGCAGGGAACAT